CTTAAAGGTAAAATATATTAGCACTACTAAGAGCCCCTGTTGATCTCTAATAGAGGTCTATGTGGCGTGGGTGCCCCCCTACTGATCCTAAGGCTAGTTTAGGTGCTTTCAAAACACACTTGTCTATCTTTTCTGGCAGTCTATTACATTTCTTGAGGACCAGGCTTGTGTGTTGGCTGCCAGTGAATCCTAGCCCTGTTTCTCACAACTGACACAGTGAGTGTGCAGGGGATGTTTGCTGAGTGCACGAATGAACTAACCACCATATCCGACACGATTTTGGTTTTTGGTTTTGCTGGTTCACCGACACCGTGAAGAATCGACGTTTCCATGAGATGATTAAAAACCACATCCTACGCTTCTGTACACGAAGCTGCAAATTTGAGCAATGTAGAACAAATCGCTGAGAAGGGGCCACTGAAAAGCTTTAAGTTCGTCTTCCTGTGTCAGTGTGGCACTAGAGACTCTGGCCAGTATTGGCCAATATTAGAAATAGAATATATCTGTAGTTCCGCCTTCTGTAGGTGTCTTCCATATATTAATAGTTGATGCGCCCAAATAGGTCTAGTCACCTAGCACCGGTACTCCTCAGTGGCAGGTGTTTGCAATCCACCACGTGGATCTTAGCCTGCTTCGGGTTTCCTGCTTCCGCCGGAGGTGCCTTGGCACCGGAAGTGACGTGACTGGGTGGGCCCAGAGATTGTACTATCTCTTCCTCTCCACGCGGTTGAGGAGTTCGGTCGGCCTAGTTAGTGTGTGCCGAGTGATGCCGGGAAAACTCAGTGACAGCGGTTTGGAATCAGATACGACCATGGGGAAAGTGAAGACACTGCGAAAGCAAAATGAGAAGGTGATGCCCAGGGCCTTGGGGCAAGGCAGGAACAGGTGCCGGGGAGCGCAGAGGAGCCGGGCCTGAGAAAACGCGAGAGGGGCCGGGTCCGATAGGGGGTCTACGGGGAGCCGGGGAGGTGCAGGGGACGCCGAGAGGAGCGGGGCCCAGGGAACGAGAGGACCTGGGGCGTGGAGCGCCTGTCGCGCGGCGAGTACCGGCACGCGGTAGACCCCGCGTGGGTCTCTCCTAGCCGGCCCGGCCCGGGGCACTCCGGGCCTGCGGGGACGTAGTCTGCCAGACGTGCAGACCTTTCTCTGCCGGCTTGTATAATGCGCATGCACAAGTTCCGGTAGTTGGAGCGGAGAGGCCGGGTGGGAACTGGAGAATGGACCGGTGTCCCACGTGGTTCCTGGAAACTGGGCGCCAGTTTCCTACGTCCCCTGCGTAGTCGGACTCTCGCCTTTAAGCCCACTGTGCCACTGAGGCCGGGAGTGAGCGTGCGCCGGAGAAATTGGGACGCCCCACCTTCAGCCTGGACTAGTGAGGTCTTTACACGATCCGCGCACGTGGGCGACGCCCGTCGTGGCATTCTTTTTACCCTAGTAAGGGAAGTGCAGTGTGTTTCCGCTAAGCAGCCTTTAGAAGATGAGATAATTTAATTTCTCTTAGTATTTACTGCCCAGATTTCCTGTCGAAATGTGAAGGATTAATTGTGGTGTATGGCATCTTTTATTTATTTTTTTGAGTAGGCTTAGCAGTGTGCAGTTGTCTTAAGTTACCTTTGACATCCTTAGTGATTTGATTTGTGACTGAGTCTCTGTTCTGAGATAGTCACCGGGGAACAAAAATTGTCCCTGATCTTGCATTGTACATAAAACTTTCTTTCTTTGTGGTTTCTCTATCTATCTGGTGGGAGCTCGTACAACAGCAGTGTAGTCATTCCTGGAAGCCTGGAGGAGTACAGACTTGCACCTCTTAGAGTTGTGGGGATGGTAATGGTCCTGGTTTACGTAGCATCAGGGTGTCCAAGTGTGGGACACTCAAAACAAATCAAGAGAGATGTGACCAAATTTATTACAATCCAAAAGAAACCACCTGGCCACCAGGATGGGAAACCAGCTTTTAATTGGTGTAATTAAAGGATGGAAGAACTGAAATCTTGGGGGAAGAGCACCTTGTTTTTCAGGTATCTTTGAAGGATGATTTTGTGGCAGAGAAATTACCTTAATCCATGATTTGAGTGTAGAGGCCAGGCATGAAGTTTCAGGGAGGTATATTTCATCTCAATATAATCTCAATACTTCTGGGATGGTTTGTGGCTCTGCTAGCAAGGTTCTAAGGAGGTTATGATACTAGTCTAATTCTTGTTAGTTTTCAGTAGTACTGTGAAAATGTGTTGAAGATTGTAAATTCCATGTAAAAGCCATAGCTATGTCTGGATTGGTTTGAGTACTCAGTACTTTGTTATCCTGGTTACTTGTGCGTTTATTTTGTCTTACTTTGAATTAAGAACACTTTTTTTACAATTGAGAAGATAATGAATTTTTGTAACATTTTGTTAGATAGGCAAGGTGCAGATATTATGAATCCCTCTTTTACCTATACAGGATGGTAAGCAGGGAGAAAGAAATCTGCTTAGCATCCATCTGTGAACATGCATGGCCTTATTCTATCAGAATTTAATTAAAATTGTACTTACTTTCTTTAGTATTTAGAATGTAAGGGAGCATTCCATGAGCTACTTCGAATCTCATATGAAAATTTGGTATTACACTTGTTCAGCCAGTGTGAATTGCATAGTTACTAAGAAGCACTCTTGATTTTTTTCAGGCTAATGAACCTGTTGATATACAGTATACTTGTCTTTCTGTATCTAAGAAGTATTATTAAAAAAGCATGCTGTTTGATTTTTTTTTTTTTACCTTAAGTGTCCAAAAATTGTATTCTTGCTGGTTGAAGGGTGGTCTTGAAATAATCCAGAATTGATGAATTATACAATTATCTAATTGTACCCACAGGTGGGGAGGTAGTGGTACTGGTTTACTTAATATCAACATCAACAGCACCTCGTTCAGTGTTTATATGTTTTTTAAATTTTTTTAGAAAGGTAAAAAGGAGAAACCTAAGGTCAGTAAGACCGAAGAGTCAGTAGAAGAAAAGGAAGAAACTATATCCCCTAAAGCTAAAAAAGTAAAAAAGAAAGCGGATCCTACTGAAGTTGACATGAGTTCTCCTAAATCCAAAAAGACAAAAAAAGAAGAGGAGCCACTTCAAGGTGACATTATTTCTCCTAAAACCAAAAGTTCGAAAAAGAAAAAGGAGCCTTCTGCAAAGGAAATCGCTTCTCCTAAAACCAAAAAAGTAATAAAAAGCGAGGAAGCATGCTGTTTGATTTTTTTTTTTTTTACCTTAAGTGTCCAAAAATTGTATTCTTGCTGGTTGAAGGGTGGTCTTGAAATAATCCAGAATTGATGAATTATACAATTATCTAATTGTACCCACAGGTGGGGAGGTAGTGGTACTGGTTTACTTAATATCAACATCAACAGCACCTCGTTCAGTGTTTATATGTTTTTTAAATTTTTTTAGAAAGGTAAAAAGGAGAAACCTAAGGTCAGTAAGACCGAAGAGTCAGTAGAAGAAAAGGAAGAAACTATATCCCCTAAAGCTAAAAAAGTAAAAAAGAAAGCGGATCCTACTGAAGTTGACATGAGTTCTCCTAAATCCAAAAAGACAAAAAAAGAAGAGGAGCCACTTCAAGGTGACATTATTTCTCCTAAAACCAAAAGTTCGAAAAAGAAAAAGGAGCCTTCTGCAAAGGAAATCGCTTCTCCTAAAACCAAAAAAGTAATAAAAAGCGAGGAGCCCCCTGAAGAAGAAATAGATGCTCCTAAGCCCAAGAAATTGAAGAAAGAGGCAGAAGTGAATGGAGACATTGGAGAAAAAAGTCCCAAACTGAAGAATGGATTTGCTCCTTCTGATCCTTACTCAAACTCCAATGAAGCTGCTAGTGAAGAAAGTAACAGTGAGGCAGAGCAGGTAAAGTTGCACTTTGGTAGGTAGAATGTATCTGTTAGTGTTTCAGATAAGTAGGTAATTGCTATATGTATTACATTAGATCATTGGGAGTCGAGTACCTTGAGCTTCAAGGCAAGATTTCATTTCAAAGATTGAGTAATATCAGAATGCCTCCTTTAGAAATAGGCAGATAAGCAATCACCCCCCCAGGGGGGATGGCCATACTGCAGTCCCTTCTCCTCCATTCTCTCGGGATCCTGGGGCTTGCACACACATGAACCTGGCGTGAGTTTAAGCCACCAGGTCCGGGACTCGAACTGCAGTCGACTACGTGGGAGTCCAGCGACATAGCCATTACGCTAACTGCTGGTCCCAAGTCTGCTTATTTTATAAGTCAGAAATCAGCAGGAGAGAGAGTTATATAAATGGTCCCTAGTTTCTTTCTGAGGGGTTTACTCATCCTGTGAATATTTAGGAAATTCATTGGGACCAGCAGGTGGCATGGTAGTTAAGGTGCTGGACACTTCCATGGTTCGAGTTTTGGACCTGGTGGCTTGTTTTCTCACTTTTTCTCTCTCTGTTCAAATTAAAAATAAATGAATGAATAAGTAAAATTAAATACATAAATCTTCTAAAGAATTTAGAAATTCTCTGTTGAGCATTCAGATGTCTTACTATCTGATAATGCCATGGGGACGGTACTTGATAAATGTTTCTTTTTTTCTTAGAGATTTTTGCTATAGGGCGTATGAGAAACAAAGTGAGAAATCACCCCCTGGGGAGATGCCTATGCCGCAGTTCCTTCTCTATTCTCCTCTTAGGATTTTGGGCCTGCACTCACATGCTCCAAGTGTGAGTTTTGAGCCACCAGGTCTGAGACTCAAATCGTGGTTGACAAAGTGAGAGTTCAGTGATGTGATCATTATGCCATCTGCCGGCCCCATGTTCTTTGTTTTTTTATGGAAGTACATGAGCAATGTTGCTGTGGGAAGGGATTAAAGACCTGTTCATTGTACTGTTGGCTGGAAACAGCTGTACAGTAGTTAGCTGAGTCTGAATCTGCCTTTACTAGTCACATGTACTTTATGTTATTGTATATTTTGCCTACAGATTTTTGGGGGGGGTTTATAGATTGTTACAAAATATTTCCTTTCCAGATCTTGATTAATCTACCAAGGTTTTCAAGTCTTTTCAGTTGACTTTTTTAAACTAATGTATTTAGGAGAATTATTTTAGGATAGCTTCTTTTATTTTTTGTTTTTCAGAAGGTTTCTTTGTATTAATTTGTATGAGTAGTTATTGATTTATTTCTGTGGCCCTTTACTTGATAGGAAATATCTGTGGAACAAAAAGAAGGTGCTTTCTCAAATTTTCCCATATCTGAAGAGACTATTAAGCTTCTCAAAGGTAATATTAGAAATTCTTAAAATATTTGGAAGTAGCCCATTAATTTTTTTTGTAGCATTTTTTTTGTTGTTGTTGTTGTTTGTCCTTTCTTGTCTTAAATCACCCCCCAGGGGACATGCCCATGCCATAATCGCTTCTCTATTTTCCACCCAGGATCTTGGGCATGCATGCACGCATGCCCACCATAAGTTTCAAACTACTGGGTCCGGGACTGAACCAGACAGCTGAGATTGTTTTTGCTGCCTCTTAAAACAAGTGATTAAAATTTATTACACACAACATATGTATTCAGAAGTGTAATGACTAATAGTGTTGGTGAAACTAAATAATTGATGCTATATTAGTGTTATCTTTTTTATCCCCTTCCATTTGAGGCATTTCAACATTAATGATGCCAGCCAAACTCAGAACTCACATGAGCAGTTGCTTAGGACTAGCTAGCTAGTCATCTCTTTGACTCAGTCTTTTTTTTTTTTTTCTTCTAAGGATTATTTAATTTTATTTTTTCATCCATTTATTATAATTTGACCAGAGAGAGACAGAGAAAGAGAGGGAAAGTGAGAAATCAAGCCACCAGGTCTGGGACTCGACCCACAGTCGGCCACATGGGAGTGTCCAGCACCTTAACCACATGCTGCTTAACTATGCCACCTGCTGGTCCCTCAACTCAGTGGTTTCTGTGTCAGGTCAGGCACAGTCTAGACTTCAAAGCACCAAATTTCTCCTGCTTATACTGGCCTATGAATGAATTTTCATGGCAAGTAATTTAATCTCTTAAAATAATAAACATTTACTATAATTTGGTGCACTAAGTTTGTCTGTAACTTTCCATCATCTAGTTCTTCACTATCAGAATATAGCTGAACCTGACTTTATAGATGTTAACCAGAACATAGAATTCTTTCATTGTACAGGACTGGAAGTATGCGTGTTTCAGTCCTTCAGTATGGCTGATATTTTAATAATTCCAGTGTCTTTTAAATGGTTAATTTGTTCACAGGCCGTGGGGTGACCTTCCTGTTTCCTATACAAGCAAAGACATTCCACCATGTCTATAGTGGGAAGGACTTAATTGCACAGGCACGGACAGGAACTGGGAAGACATTTTCCTTTGCCATCCCTCTGATTGAGAAACTTCAGGGAGAAATGCAAGACAAGAAGAGAGGCCGTTCCCCTCAGGTAATTTAAATACACTTCTCTCAAGCTGCAAATCCTCAGCACAGGAAAAAATATCTTTGGGCATTGTTTACACACCTGTACTTTACATATACTTTTTGGGGTTTCTTAAAACCAATCATTGTATTTACTGTGATCTTTATCTTGAAGTTAAACTAGGATAATTCTTTTAAGGCTATTGACTGCATTCTGTGTGCTTAAATATTAAAATCTGTCCCATGGTTGTAATTATCTGGTTTTTGGGGTTTTTTTGTTTGTTTGTTTGTTTGTTTGTTTTTTAATTTACTATAGGTCATGTGTGCTTGGCAGAGATAGTCACAGAGAGAGAGGAAGTAAGAAAGGACCCCCTCAAAGGGAATGACCACAGTGCAACCCCCTACTCTTCCCCCATTCTCTTCTTGGGATTTCGGGCAGGCACATGCGAGCATCTAGTGTTTTCAAGCTGCATAGTCAATCATGTGGGACCCAGCCACCTTAATCATGCCATCAGCTTGCTCAGATAGTCTGTATTATTAATGCTTATCATACTCCCTTCAAACTGTTGGAGGTCCCTGGGGCTCAGAGCCTAGGTCAAGTATCTGACCATTTTTTCCTAAATGGAGAAGGCATTTTTAGTAGAGAAGCATGAATGGAAGATGGGCAAGGTGAAGAACCAAGTCCCCTAAAGAGGATGGTGCCCATTTGCTTATTTCTGGAGAAACTGGCACTTGACAAACTAACCCCACTGAAATAAGTGGGGATGCCTGTGTTATCGCTTTGGCCATTGGTTCTAGCACTTAACCTTTCTTGCCTAGCCTCACTTGCTCACTGGCATTCCAGTGTCTGCCTCTCGCCCCCACCTCCATTTACGTTATTTGTTTACTGTTGTGTCCCTCACACCTGGGGTAATGCTCTTTTCAGGTGAATTTTTTTGGTGGTTTCATGCTGTTAATAAAACTACTGTAGGAGCTAGTGGTTTATGTTGTATGTCCTTTGAATTAAATTCATAGTGCTGTAGGTTTCAAAGCTCTGCCTTCTTGTCTGAGTGTTCTGCTTCAGATTCACTGCGGTAAAAACAGGTTTTGGAGGGACCAGCAGTTAGCGTAATGGCTATGTCGCTGGACTCCCTGTAGTCGACCGCAGTTCGCATCCCAGACCCGGTGGCTTAAAACTCACTCCGGGCGCGTGTGCGTGCGTGCCCAAGATCCCAAGAGGAGAATGGAGGAGAAGGGATTGTGGCTAGCCATTCCCCCTGGGGGGTGATTTCTCGCTTTCTGTCTCTCTTTCTGTCTGGCGAGCGCACGCGCCCTATAGCAAAAAAAAACGGGCTTTGGAGCCCAGCAGTTGGGGGTGTTTTACCTTTCCTTAAACCCAGTTTCAGTCAAGTTATGTACTAGACCTGCCCAAAAAGGCTGTGATATTTAAACTGGAATAATGCATATAAGTATTTAAGAGGGCATAAGACCTAATAAGTGTGCAAATATTAAGCTAGTGTTATTAGTATTATTTTTTGTGGAAGTTGTGTTTTCTTGAAACACTATTTGTTAATTATGATTTTTAATATATATTGTGTTTTTGCTATAGTAGGGCCTATGTGCTCACCAGAGAGAGAAAGTGAGAAATCACTTTTGGGGGAATAGCCATACTGCAGTCAGTTCTCTAGTCTCATCTCTGGATTTTGAATGCACATTACACATGCCTGGCATTTTTAAGCTGCTAGGTCTGAGACTCAAAATTGTGTTGTCAGCTGTGTGGAATCCAGCACCTTAACCCCTATGCCACTTGTTGGCTCCGTGGTTTTATTTTATTTTATTTCTTTTTAAGGTTTTTGCCATAGGGCACATGTTCTTGGCAGAGAGAAACAGAGAGGCAATGAGAAGAAAAGTGAAAAATCACCCCTTCACACAGGATTGCCACTCTGTAATTACTTTTCCTCCATTCTCTTGGCATTTTAGGCATGCATACACATGCATGCACCTGGTATGATTTTTCAAGCTACCCGGTCCAGGCTTCAAACCATGGTATGCCATGTTGGGATCCAGCACCCTAACAACCATGCCACTGCTTTGGGTTTTTGTTTGTTTGTTTTAATAGGGTGCTTGCGCTTGACAGAGAGAAAGCAAGAAGTCACCCCCGGGGGGATGATCATGCCATTATCCGTTCTCCTCTAATCTCCTTGTGGGATTTTGGGCATGGATGTACACGCATCTAACATGAGTTAAAAGCCACCAGGTCTGGGACTTGAACTGTGGTTGACTACGTGGAAGTCCAGCGACATAACCATCAGGCCACCTGCTGGTTCCAACAACCTGTTGTTGATTTGTTTGTTTGTTTGTTTTTTGCTTTTTTGGAGAGTATTTTGCTATAGGGTGTGTGCGTTTACCAGAAAGAGAGAGACAGAGAGACAGCAAGACATCACCACTCCAGGGAAGGTCCATGCTGCTGTCCTTTCTCCTCCATTCTCCTCTTGGGATCTTGGGCACACACTCAGCTGGCATGAGTTTAAAGCCACCGGGTTCAGGACTTGAACTGTGATCGACTACATGGGTGTCCAGCAACATAGCCATCATGCAATCTGCTGGTCCCTACCTGTTTGTTTTTAAAAACAGCATTTTGCTCATGATTCTCCTTCCTCAGCTACCCACGTGGGACTTGAGGTGTGCACTCATCTCCTAGCTCTCTTTGTTGCCTTGAACTCTTCATCCTCCTACCTTAGCCTCATGTTTTTGGGATTAGAGGCACATACCACTATACCCAGCCTTTACGTCACCCAAATGGTCCCAGCCTGTGCAGCATAGCTTTGTAGCAGTATGCGCCCCCATCGCTAGGCGAAAAGGTAGTATTTTCGATGGGGTCTCATGACTCTGTCCTCAAGCCAGTATATGTACTCTGTTCAGGTTAGGCCGAGAACCGAATCTGGGACCTCCATCCAGCCTCAGCCAGTTAGTATGAGTTGACCTTTTTGATGTATTCTAAACCTGTTAAGAAACAACTCAGGCCGGGCACATGTGCATGCGTGCCCAAGATCCCGAGAGGAGAATGGAGGAGAGGGGATTATGGCGTGGCCTTCCTCCCTGGGAGGTGATTTCTTGCTTTCTGTCTCTGTCTGTCTGTCTGGCGAGCACATGTACTCTATAGCAAAAACCTCTCCAAAAAAAGAAAAAAGAAACAAGTACTGCATGGGGGCCAGCAGGTAGTATGGTTAAGGGCACTGGACTCCCACATAGCCGACCATGGTTTGAGTCCTGGACCTGGCGGCTTCCTTTCTCACTTTCCCAATCTCTC